ATAGATATCTATATATATCTCTATATATCTATATATACACACACATTTCCCTGTGTTTTTTCTTTTTAATAATGATGCAAATACAAAAAAAGACCTGATGACCCAGCAAGAAATGCAGCAAGCTGTAACATCCTTTGCATTCTAACATTCTAACAAACTGCACTGAATTTTATTTTAGGGTAGGCAAACCCCATAAGGCATTTCAAAACTCTCAGAGGCAGATACATAATGGGATTTGTGGTTTCACCACAGATGGAGGGCTGATGTTTGGCTACCCATGCTGTAACCAAATTACTTCAAGTCTATTTCTGTGAAGTCTTAAGTGTAACCATCTTTAACCATGCCCATTTAAAACAAATACATCAGTTTTATACCATGGTTCTGCAATAACAAGGTGCTAAATGTGAATCCGGAGTTCATTGGTCTATGTAATTTTGTTGCTTAAAGAATATGTGAAGTGTACCTACTTTTTACAGATGATGACACCAATTCTAACCAATTCTAAATTACTATGTAAATTCTACGGTTCAAAAATGTTATTATTGAAAAAGAACATAAAGAAACTGAATGCAGCCACAACATATAAGGACTGATAATCTGCAATTTATTAAATTTTCGTTCTTGATTTTAGACATTCATTCCACAGACATGTGTCCTGGCGATCACTTGTGCCCGCTGTTAGTTTTGAGACCTAGCTGTCACTGCCATTGACAGGTTTCAAGGCCAAAGGGTAGGCAAAAGAGGTGGCCACCTTAGGCATATCAGGAAGTGGTGAAAAGGGGTCAGGACCCTTGCAGCCTATGCTGCTGAAGTAGTTCACACATTATTGTGGGGGGGGGGGGGGGGGGGTTGATGCACTTTGACCCTTTTTTCTTGAGTGCTAAAAGACCTCGGAAACTGGGAACCAATTAGCATGGTTGCCAGTCAATAATGTGAGATCTGTGGCTGTCAGGAACATTGTCTGGGGGCATTAATATATATGGTGTCAATCATTGCATACCATTTCGTCCAGTGCAGTCTGGACAGCGGCAGTAAATTTGCAGGGTTATACTGGAGTCTGAAATTAAATAAACATAGAAGCATCTTTTAAAAAATTCCCATAAAGCTAGCCATTATGCTTTAAAGCAGGGGTAGCCAAACTCCGGCCCTCCAGCTGTGGTGACACTACAAATCCCATGGTGCATCTCTCTCCGGCAATCATGTCTGTGGCTGTGAGAATCTTGCAATGCCTCATGGGATTTGTGGTTCCACCACAGCTGGAGGGCTGAAGTTTGGCTACCCCTGCTTTAAAGTTACAGTTTCATAGTGGTGTAAGTTCAGAAGTGGTTTGGCTTGAACATGGAGACTGGAGACTCTGGGGGGTCTAATAATGATTTTGCTATGAGACCCCCATCACACACACACACACACACACACACACACACACACACAATTATACCTCTTTTGTTTCCATTTTGTGGTTAGGAGAGAAGTCTAGCATTAAATAGTAGTAAAGATCCCTTTGTTACAGTCCATATATTTTTTGTTAAATAAATTACACAGTCAATTATTGGAATTGCGAAAATAAAACTGTTAAGTCATATAGTTTTGAACTTATGTAAGGATCTCTTAAATGCCAAAGCTTTGCAGCTGAATATATTGCTATGAATGTAGCTTGCACCGTTGGCTTTTTGGAAAAGCAGAATAAATTGATAGTAACATATTGTATTTGAGCTGTCTCTTGACCTTTGGTAAATCACACTCAAAAGGATATTGTCCCAGCTCAAGAACATTGACCAATCGATACTACATGCTGTGACCTGCTGTGATGTAAGTAGGATTCTGGTTTTAACACTAACTAAAATAAGAAGTAATTTACTCCCTGTATATAGCTTTTCATAACCAGCAGAGGGGAACGTACAGTCTTAATTAAAATCATGGATGTCAACATATTACAGTAATTATTTCTGTAAATCCAACAAGAAAAAAAATGTTGAAACTCATTTAAAAATATTTAGGCTCCTTTTTTGCTTTCTGGATTTTGGCTTGTAACCTTTAAAACTCTTTGTAAAATTTCTTATTGGATTAACCGATTAAGAGAAAAATACACGCTCTTTTTTAGGTGATTTCTTTTTAAAAGGGAGACTTTGCTGTATATTCAATGAACACATGCATTATTACAATGTTTTTAATCTTATAGAAGATCTAAATCTCCATCATCAGGCGGACTGACAGGGTAATCTGTCATCGGAACCGTGAGCGTCGAACAGTGTGCCGCCTACCGGAGGCCCGTGTTCGACACGTTGCGGAGCGAATTGACAGATTACTAGATGGGGTTGGGCACGATCCCGTTGTCATGGTGCACATCGAAATGAAAACCATATTATTTACATTTAGGATGGAGTAGTAAATGGTTAACACTGCTGTCAGCAATGTTTGCCTGCTGTGTGTCATTGGGGAGATTTTCCTTCACTTCTTGTCTTGTAGACACAACATGACGTGACAGTCTAAGGGCTAGTTCACACCAGTCCCAGTGTGTTCTGGCCCAATTGGTGCCAAAACGCACTGGCTCGCATTCCGGCCAGCACGCATTGTTTTGGGGTGGGAGGGGGCATAGCGGTGCATTTAAGTCAATGGCACCACAGCCACAGTGCGACTGCGGTGCCATTGTCTTCAATGCACCACCACGCCCCCTCCTGCCCCAAACATAGTGAGCCGACCGGAATGCGATCCAGTGCATTCCAGCACCCATCGGGCTGGGACTGGTATGATCTAGCACTAAGACAGCTGTCATCTGAATAAGTGTCCCCGTTTCTCTCTATTATTTGTCTGGGGACAACTCAATTTTTTCAGTTATCCTTAACTTTCTATCGAGGTCATAATGATTATCAGGAAAAATTGACTAGGCATATTTCCCTAGCGTGGACACCGAGTGAAATAAAGACCTAACAGGGGTTCTAACCCTTATCTGCTCAAGTAAACATCCTTCTGAAAAGGAAAGCACAGGTACTTTTCGAGTACCAGTGCAGATACTTGCCATTTTCATGAGAACTACCAGGGTTGCAGCTGGGACCTGGCTCTGGCACTCCACCACTGTCCTGAAATCATTAGTCTGTATTGTTTTAGAAAAACTGTCACATGACAATAAACAAAAATGTATCAGTACTCGTACTTGTAAGTACTCGGCAAGTACCAGTACTCGTACTCGCAAAACTGGTATCTGTGCATCCCTTTTATATTTATATTTATAAAAGCAAAATCGTACATTAAAACAGAGATGTACAAATCCCAGGAGCTCCGCATGCTCCTTACAAATGACAGCTGCCTCCTAATTTTTGAATTTTTCTTTAGTCTAGTCTTGGAGCTCAAAAGTATCGGTACATGTACTCATACTTGTACCGAGTACAGTACTTGGTATCTGTGCTACCCTACTTCTGATGATATCCTGGGAAATGGTGAGTAACTGAAATTTTAAAAGATAACATAAACAGCAAAGTACAGTAGTGTCTTCTCCCAAGATTTGGGCTACTCAGCATTCACTAGGATCTCACCAGAAAGATGACATCACTCTCACCTCGGTGCCATGGGCAGATGGCAGGGGGTAGGTAAGCATTTTATCTCACTTTAACCCACACGGTTTTTATTCAAGTAGTTTTGAGTATACAGTCTATGCTTTCTTTATTATGGCCGGGTTTAAAAAAATTATAGATTTTTAAAAAAGGTAAACAAAAAACTAGTGCACATTAATATTATCTAGTCTTCTTTTGAGTTAAAGGAAATCTATGGGGTCCAAGCTTTTCTTCACTTTTGGATTCCATGTGCTATAGGAACAATTTACTACTATAATCCAAAATGCACCCTAAACATATAATCGTTACTTTAAGATGGTGGGTGGGGCAAAGCACAGCAGTGGGGAAAGATCCCGACAATACTATCGAGATCCTCCCCACTGATCATTCGTCACTGTGACTGACAGCGCTTCTTGAGAACTGCTACGCGTCCACGAATATATGGGCATGCGCAGCAGCTTTTTCCCCTCAGCTCTCTTCCTACCTTCGCAGCGCGTGCATAGAAGGTGGTTTCTCCTCACTGCCTCTGCCACATGTGCAGCAGTTGTATGGAAATCTGTTCCCTGTAAAGGTTAGTTCCCCCTGCCGTTCAGCTATTATGATAAGCCTGCCCCTTCCTTACAGTTGGTTGGTATTTACATAGCCACACCCCCCTCTCTGCAAGCTCAGGTGTTCTATGAGAAAGAGACAGACAAACGTCTCCTCTCACATTGTGTGCTCTGATCGTTCAGCTTCCACATCTCCACACACTGTATAGGAGATCTCTGACTTGTCTCTCGATCACATGTCACCACTCTCATTGTTGTCACTTTCTCATAGAACACCAGAGCTTGCAGAGAGGGGGCAGGGCTATGTAAATACCAAGCAGCTGTAAGGAAGGGGCGGGCTTATGGTAATAGCTGAACGGCAGGGGAACTAAGATTTACGGGGAACAGGTTTCCATACAACTGCTGCAAGCATCTGATTATGTGAGACAGAGCAGGGGAAGATCGTTTAAGAGAGAGGGGAAATACTGGTAAGAGAGAGGGAAAGAGAAGGGAGTCTTCTCAGTTGATACTCTGCCTCCCACTCCCACATGTCAGCGTGCACACTCCAGCCGGACACCGTTTACATGATTAGAGAAAGCGTGGCCATGGCAGATAGAGTTAGAAAAAAAAAGCTGAGGGCGGGCTGCATTCCTTGTTAACGCCCCCTAAGAGGAAAGGAGCAGTGAACATGGCTGCAGGTGGCCGTTTTCTGTGACTTGTGATTA